AAACTAAAACCAGTGATAGAGTAAGTGATTCTGGATACATTGCAATGAATAAAATATTACTTTATTTTTCAAAAAAAATATGTTATTTTTATTTTTTTTTTCATTTTTAGCGATGTAAAATAAGTTACGTATTACTATTTTTATCAATAAATTTGTCTATTTATTGAGTTTCCATAAAAACGCAATGTAATTAAAACTCGAAAAAATCAGCTGATCGGCGGTAGACGACCCCTAGAGTTCAATAACCTTTGGTACGTTCAAAGGGCACTTTCATTCTCTTTTCTTCACCACTGGTAGAATGAAAAGAGGCAGAAGATACGAGTGAGAAACTTCAGCGACATCTAGCGACGAAAAGCTTTTAGTTCTCTACGTTGCTAGTTTAGGTACCCATTTTCCTGTGTTTTATTAAGAAAATGCAATGAAAACGTAATTACTAAAAGTAGTTTTAAAACGGCGTTTTGTTATTTTTTCAAATTGTTATTTATTGATGATCATTCCCTTTCACGCAATAACAATAAGTTATATACGACTGGAGGTATACAAGTCCAGTTAAATTTGCTGCGGAGTCTGCTACTGCCGACAATCATAGCCTGGCATTTATTTGGATTGACCATAAGACCAAATGAAACCGCCCATTTCTGAATAGAAGCAAGATCTCTATTTAAAGCATCAATGGTATCCAGAGCATCGTCGATAGAGAAGTGCCTATAGATTTGAAGGTCATCTGCGTAAAGATGAAAAGGAGAAGAAATAACGGTAGAGATATTATTAATAAAAATAGAAAAAAGTAAAGGTGAGAGAACACCACCTTGTGGTACACCGGCTGACAAATTTAGCCAGTCAGAAGAAGAAGAATTGAAAACTACGCACTGAGAGCGTTCAAAAAGATATGATCGGAACCAATCAATAGCAGAGGCGGAAATGTTAAGCGAGCGGAGAGTACTAAGCAAAATGTCAAAGTCAACACAATTGAAGGCACTGCTAAAATCCAGTAGAACCAAGGCTGTAAGTTTCGTATTATCCATAGCATGGCGAATATCTTCAGTTATGTTCAACAGTGCACCAACTGTGCCGTGAGCAGGACGGAAACCAGATTGGTAAGGACACAAAAGAGAGTTAGATAAGAGAAAAGAGTAAAGTTGTTGGTGAGTGACAGTTTCAAGTACCTTAGAGAGAATAGGGAGAATAGAAATAGGACGATATTGACTGAGTGAAGAAGGATTGTGAGTTTTAGGAAGAGGTATGACATGAGCCCTTTTCCAAGATGCAGGAAAGACATTGTTTTCCAAAGAGAAATTTATAATGTGAGTAATTATTGGAACAATGTCCTCCAGAACAGGAAGTAACATGTCAAGACTTATGCCATCACTTCCAATCGCCCTCGTGGAGATGGATTTAATACATTTTGTAATATCTTCCTCAGAGACTACGCTGAAGGAAAAGGGGGGACAGTCAGGTGAGTTATTAAGACGTGATAAAAAGGAAAGAGTGTCAGACTTAGTTGCCATGTCTAAAGTAAGAGAAGGTGAGGAGAAATGCCTATTGAGAACATTCAGATCCACGATGCTCTGGCTAGCCTCTTCCGACTTACCCACACCTAGCGATTTTAAAAAACCCCACAAATGCTTTTGATTTAAACTTTCTATTTGGCTGTGAATATATTTACGTTTAGCATCTCTACACATTCTGTTGCAAACATTGCGCCATTTTTTATAAATTCGTAAATTTTCAGGAGAAGGGGCTCTTTTCTGTTTACTTTTGGCCCTATCTCGTTTCGCCATAATTTTTCGGATATCTGACGTTAACCAGGGGGCAGGTACATGTTTCACACGAACTGGACGAACCGGAGCGTGCACGTCATAAATGTCAACAAGAGCAGAAGTGAAGTAGTCTACCATATCATCCACATTACTATCACGCAACAGCGGTGACCAGTCCTTATTTCTTACATCATCTCTCAAACGTTCAAGAACCATTTGCTTAAAGTTGCGCAGAAGTCGTATCCGTGGTTTAATTTTGGGAGGGCGCACTTGAAGCGAAACATAAATTAAATCGTGATAAGAAAAAGGAGCGGTAATTTGTCCGTGAGTGCTAACTAGCTCAGGATGAGAGACAATAATAACATCTAAGAGGGAAGGTTTACAGTTGGGGAAATAATGAGTGGGGGACGTCATGTCAAGTACATGAAGATTAAGGGATAACAAGAGATTGAGAAGTTTATTTGCTCTAATGTCCTTTTTCAACAAACATGTGTTGAGATCACCCATCAGTACAACGTAATCAAAAGCAGGAATCAGATTTTCAAGGGTATTTTCCAAACTGTTGAAATAATCTATCTGATCACTTGGACAATATACAGCACCTATAAGAACTTTTTTATGGTGAGTGACTACTTCAATAAATATATATTCAATAGAACACGTATAATTAGATGGCGAACAAGTGATTATCCTGGTAGGTATGTGATTACGCAGATAAATACCTACACCACCACCACCCACGCCAATGCGATCGTTGCGAAAAAGATTATACCCTGGGAGAGAGCAACCTGAAGAAGAGATTGAAGGTTTTAACCATGTTTCAGAGATCAGAATACAATCAACCACGCCATTGCTAAAGGACGCAAGAAGATCAGTATGATGTGCTGGAATACTTTGCGCGTTTATATGCACGAAGGAAAGAGAATTAGGATTTTTACCAAATATCTCTAACAGTTCAATGTTAAGCGGTTTAGATACAGTTAATGAAGAAACGCTACTATTGGCACTTTCGTATTCATCCGAAGAACAAGAAAAGTAATCATCATTCAAATCCATATTAAATAAATATACGTATATAGTTAAATAAATACTTATAATAAAACACAAAAACTAAGATAACTCCAAAAAAAAAAAAATAACAGAAACCGAATAAGCAAAATCATCTTCCACGTGCCTAAGTTGACGTGAAAAGACTACTCTAAACACCATGGAAAATTCTATATATACACAATCTAATTAGTGATCTGGCAGATAAAAAAAAAAATTACCTTTAATTTAAATTCATCACAGAAATAATATCCTCATCGCATTATATAACAAAAAGTGGAAAGCAAAAGAGTTTATATTTAATTTTAAGTATGGCTGTATGTAAACACACTTTTGGATTCCTTTGCCTTCCTTAGAAAAAACACAACTGACATTAGACAGTAATGACACTGACGTAGGATGTCGATATTATACATTGTAAATCTAAATGTGTTTGAAGAAGTAAAACAATTTTGAAAAATAAATAAGTACAGAAATAACAACGTACCGTCGAATTTGAGATGATAATCCGACAAAGTAAAAAAAAAAATCACAAAGTGTATGCAACAAGTGTTCATTTCGTCTCTTTTGTGACCTCCGTAGACTGAATTGGATACTTTTGTATGAGATGTTGTAAATCACTATTAGAGAAGATCTTCTTTCTTGTTCCGTCAGCCAACAAAACAATGACCGTACCTTCAGAGGACCAACACTTTCTCTTTCCAAAGTGTTTACGAGCTGCAGCAAAGATATCCTGTCTCGCCTTAGTGAGAAATTCTGACACTGTTACATTGGAACCCCTCAATGAAGTTTTCATATTCCACACCAACATGCGAGGCTTCATTTCAGTAAAACGCACCAATATAGGCCTTGAGAAATCTTTCCTTTTAGTGCCAAGTCTATGACATGTCTCAACCTTATCAGCATCCACTCCTTTTATCTTCATTTGGTTGCTTAATATTGAAAGTATCTTCGGAAGCACATCTTCATCCTTATCTTCCTTGATTCCGTGGAACAAAAGAACCTTTCTTCGTGAATGAGCATCCAAACGATCGACATCCAATGTGATGAGTTCAATCTGGGATCTGATAATGCTAAGAGACTTCCATATAAAAGTTTTAAATGTGGAGAAGTCTGCTGCTATGGACTTGACAGTAGTATTGGATTCACGCATACCTGGCTGCTGGAGATTTTTCTCAAATTCAGTCATTCTGTTGTTAAACATTGATGACAAATCCTTCAGGCTACTTAGAAGTTTTTCAGCTGTTGTATCCATGGTGCAGTGGAGATAACGTGTGTGATGATGTATGAGAGTTCAACTATGGCACCGAAGATGTTAGTTAATAACCATAAGGTACTATTCAACTTTAATTAAAAATAATTTTGGAGCACAAAAAATTTCAGTATTTTCACTTCAACAGCTACCCGCAAAAAAAAAAATAAAAAAATAGATATCATTTTATTATAATATATTTTTAAAAATTATCTAAATACCGATTCAATAAAACCACGTCGAGTGCACAAAATAGCAATTACTGAATTGTCTCACCGAAAAACGTAAAGCGAGTGGCGGCTTGTCAACAAAAATATATTAATAATTTTAACTTGTTGAATAGTTCAGAATAACTACCATAGATAACTGCCATAGTTTATAGCGGCTTCACTTTTGTAAATTGTTTTTAATTAATTTCAAAATAGCAGAGAAAGATTTTCATAAAATGCGCGAAATCACTTTTTTGAGTTCGTGAATTAAGCAGTACTTCTAAACAAACGAAAAAATAAAATAAAATGATATCTCGAATATAGTCGTATAGTTCATAACGGCGTCGAAATTTGAAAATAGCATAGGATGATATAGGCTACTATTTAATGTTATATTTTATTTAGTAGTAATGTAAAAATGTACTGAATAGGTGTTTTAAAATAGTCCTTTCTGTTAATAGGCGCAGGCGTAAATGTCAGTCTACAGCCGCTTCAAGCCGAAAAATCAGGAGAATAGTCGTGTACGAGGGCGTGCACACGTAGGATGCCGTGGAAGATTCAAAGCTTAGGACGTCATGTGACCAACTTATATAAATGTAACTGCTATTTTGACCACCCGAATGCCAGCCTCCAGCTGAAGAGAATATTAACACCGGTTCATATTTGTCTTTCATTTTATTTAATCCTCGCGATTTGCGATTGAGTTTTAAAGTATTCGTCGAACATAACCGTCTAATTACCGTTGTCGTGATGACTAAAATGTTGTGTAGGAGGTTGCCTATCTTCAAATCTCATACCCATTTGCCTTTTCAAATTTCCAAGGGATGATGAATTAAGAAACTTGTGGTTTAGTTTTGTAGTTCCTACGAACATCAAACTTAAAAGCTTAAGCAAAGAGCAATTATTGACTAAATATGTTTGTCAAAACCACTTTAACCGACATCATTTTGACAATACGGGTATTCCCCTTCGTCGAGGTTAACCTTGTTTAATAACTGAGAAGGAGATGTTATTCGGAATTAAATAGAAGGTTATCAGAGCCCACAATACCATCACTCGAGCCTACCACAAGTTGTTTGAATGAATTTTTTATACGAGTACTACACGATACGCACTGAAAAAAAAATGAAGCAAGAAATAGAACAACTTCGATGGAAAGCAAAAAAGATGGATTAAAAATCAGAAGACTTCAAATGAAAGTTAAACATTTAAAAAAGGTACCTACACATCTAGTAGCATACAATTTGTCTGCTCGCAAGTTCAAGTTTCAGGCAAGGTGCAATAGAAGCTTCCCTCGTCTCTATTTATCTCGCCGCATTCGTCCGCAGCCGAGTGTAGTCCTTAATAATATTATGACGCACCTAAGATGTTACTCGTACTTACAGACGCGCGTGCAGTACTTTCATCTCTCGAACTACCTTTAGATGTTTTTTTTGTAAATCCAGGATGTTTTCAGTTTAATTTTGTCCGAATGAATGTGATTTGAATATCAAGTTAAAAGACTTGGTTGGGCCTCAGTTATCAGAAATTTAAAAAGTTGCTTTGAAGAAAAATTATTCTCCAGCCCTCAGATCATTAACTTTAACGCTTTATTATCTTTCCACAAATGCGGACTCATAAGTCAGAAAAACTTACGATACATGTCTACCAATTAAACCAATTAAGGCAATCAGGCAAACGTGCTTTGTACAGTCTTATGATGGATAATATGGCTATTAAGAAGTTCCGTCCCATTAAAGGAACGGAAACCAATATCACGGTTATATTGGTGACACTGAATGATGTGCAAAAGGATAATTTGGATCACGTATCTCAGGCATTAGTTCTGTTGCTTTTATCTGAACTGAACGGTGGAAATTACTTATAGGATTCTTTCTGATTAATTCTGTGACCGGGGAACAATGGTGTTTGATCATTCAACAATGCCATTACAAATGTCGAGAAAATGGCGTAGACGTTGTTTTACTTACAGTGGATGGTTGCGCTGCAAATATGGCTATGCTTTAAAAGTTAAGATGCTCGTTAGAACCTCAGAGCATGCGGACTACCTACATCCCAGTGCTTACTACGAAGTAGCAGTATTCCTCGACGCATGCCATATGCTTAAGCTAGTGCGCAATACATTTGAGAATAAAATGACTTTTCTTGATTATCAGTGCAATAATATAAAATGGTCTTATCTTGTCAAGCTCAAGAACCTACAAAAGTCTGAAGGCCTCCATTTTGGAAACATGTTAAAAGAGAAGCACATAAATTTTCATCGACAAAATTGAAAGTAAAATTAGCAAGGCAGCTTTTCAGTAATAGTGTTGCCAGCGCACTTCACGTTTGTAAAGAATTTAAATTTGTATATAAAAATGCGGCGGCAACAATTATTTTTATCCGCTTAATTAATAATAACTTTGACATTTCGAACTCTCGAAACATTTGTCAACTAGAATCCAAAAAACCCTTATTTGAAAACTAAAGAGTATTTAGAATATGCAATTTAGAATATTCATAGGTCTTTTGACATGTATCAGCAGCACGATTTTCTTGTACCGCCTCATTGAAGAAGAAAAAATACTAAAATATCTTACACTGTACAAATTTTCGCAAGATCATTTGGAACTCTTTTTGGGGTAATAAGGGTTGTGACACACAGGCGGGTAAAAAAGGTCAATCGAAATACATGGTTAAAAAATATATATTTTAATTAAATACACCCTGGTACGGAAATTCTGAATACGTCCCTGAGTATTTTACTCTTGCGACATCTAGTATGAAGTAGCTGAACTAATAAGTAACATCGATATGAATGAATGAAAGGGAGTAATTTTTCTATTGACCGGTAGATGGAGATTAAAGAAGTGGGGTGAGACTTAGGCTCCCTCATCCCGCAAAATGTTACGGAATGTTATATAGGCAAATCTCATTAGGCTATCTGCTCTTTGTATTAGCTCCGTGCTTTGGCCACTTGGCAGAATTTGACTTCGCGCTTCAAGTCAATAGATTACGGCTTAAATGTTTCAATGAATAGCGACAGTTAAATTAATGCTTTATTATTTATATATTTATTAATACTCAATAATACATCAGTACACAGTATACTTCTTTAACACCATACTTTAGTGTCATATTTTAAAATGAAGACAGAATTACTTTTTGGATTTTGTTCTGCTACAGCATGTGTGATAATGCACTTGACGCATGAAGGTTACCCTGACTTCAAACATGCAAAGATATACTGTTTGATCAAAGCAAAGGTTGCAACTATTGTCACTCTTCTTAACCACTTTTTTAAGAGCTTATTATTATCTACCTGTTAACAACATCCAAATATGTTTGATTATAGTGAGCAATAGGAGGGCTTAACTAATTGCTTTCTATATTGTTAATTATTAGTATTGGAGCGATATAAAAAGCAACATGAAAAGGAAAAGAGCAGCTATGCGTCAGTATGGAAGTGGTACAGATGGTGGACCTTCATGGGAAGGTAGTTTGACACCTATCGAGGAAAGAATATTAAGCCTCATAGGAGTTCAAAATGTATTTGGGAATCCTAAAGTCCAGCTTGAAGTCGATGTATGTTTCTACTACAGATTTATTAATTTATTTTATCAGCATTCATTTCAGTTTGAATGTTAATAAAATAAAAAATTATCCTAAAATAAAAAACAACAAAAAATCAATGACAAACGAAATATTGGGTTAGTAAGTGTCGAAAAAATTTTAACTAGGGTAGACTGGGTACGGTTGAAGCAAAGGACGGTTGAAACAAAACGAATATCTCGCAAACCGTTGACGGGGCGGTGAGGGGTCCAAGGGGAGAACGAAGCGGACGACAGGTCTAAACACGAATCTTAGTGTTGCGTCACTCTCCGCGCGCTTTGGCTGTTTCTAGGGCTGTTTCTTTTAAAATACTTACTTTTGGTTATCAAAACACAATAGGGTGTTTTGATAACCAAAAGTAAGTATTTTTGCTTGGAGATTTTTCCAATTATTGTAGTTTTTATTCAAGTGACAGCATTGAGGGTGCGTTGTTGTTTGAAATGAAGCTCGCGGAATATGACATTGTGACTAGTTTTTGTGTATCATTATTGTTACAATGACTAATAACTGAATTTTACCTGAAGTAGGAGTTGGGGACGGTTGAAACATTTTTTTTGGGTACGGTTGAAACAGTGTGCTTATTACTTTTTTCTTGTTTTTTTAGATGCCTAGAGTACGCGTAAGAAAGACATCGAGAGGGCAAATAGACTTGTCGAAGTACAAAGACGCATATGAGGAGGTGAAAACCGGAGGATCATTGCGAAAAGCGGCAGCGAAGCACGGATTAAACCATTGTTCGCTTCTAAGATATATTCGAAAGCGAGATGTCTCTGGCGAGCAAGAAAATCCAGACATGGGATATAAAGCACACAACCGAGTTTTTAATGAGGTGCAAGAGCGAGAGCTTTCAAAGTACTTGATTCGATGTGCTGATATATATTTTGGACTACCTAAGAAGGAGGTAAGAAAACTGGCGTATGAACTTGCAGTTAAATATAATTTATCAAGACCTAAAACTTGGGATGGTAACGAGCTGGCAGGTGAGGAATGGTTTCGGATGTTTATGAGAAGAAACCCCGAACTGTCTCTACGCGCAGCACAAGCTACTAGCCTCTCCAGGGCGACTAGTTTTAACAAAACAAATGTAAATTCTTTCTATGACAATTTGACCACTGTCATGGATCGTCATAAATTTGAGCCTCAAGATATATGTAACGTTGATGAAACAGGCATAACCACTGTTCAAAAGCCCGACAGAGTAGTGGCTAGGCGTGGTGCTCATCAAGTAGGTTCAGTAACTTCGGCGGAAAGGGGTACATTGGTCACAGTCGCCTTTGCAGCGAATGCCATTGGAAATGTTATTCCGCCATTCTTCGTCTTCCCGAGAGTGCGTTATCAAGAACATTCTATTAGAGATGGGCCCCCTGGCTCCGCTGGAGCTGCTAACCCCTCCGGCTGGATGCAAGATGAAACATTTATGCATTTTCTGGAACACTTTAAAAAACATACAAATGTATCTCTGTCTCATAAGGTGTTATTTCTGCTCGACAATCACTCTTCACACGTCCACATTAACGCAACTTTTGCAAGAACAATGGCATTATCTTACTATCTTTCCCACCCCACTGCTCGCACAGACTCCAGCCACTTGATCGATCGGCATATGGCCCTTTGAAGAAAGCTGTCAATTCAGCCTGCGATGCATGGATGCGAAACCATCCAGGAAGCACAATGTCCATTTACGATATACCAGGGATTGTAGCGTCTGCTATGCCAGTTGCTCTTACAGCTTCAAATATTCAAGCCGGCTTTCGCAATTTATTTATTTATTTACTCTCTTGGATGACCAACAGCTAACAATACAAATTAAAATTTCATTCCAAAAACAGATAGCCAATTACAGGTCTTCGCTTATAGATTTGGCATAAAAGTAAGAAATATATATATATACATACATATATATACTTACATACATAAAACATGCATCGCTTACACTTACAGTAATGTTACAATAAGTACGCTGCTTACGGAGTAATATATTAATAATAAATACATATATAAAGTATAATGATAATGACACATATACCTATATCCTAATCAGAAAAATTAGTTATTTAAAAAGAATAAGTTACCAAGAACACGCTTAATCGACGCCTCGCTAGTGTTAAAAAGGTCAATATTTACTCGCTTTGTTAGTTCGTTGAATCCATTACACGCTCGCCAAATGAATGAATTCTGCCGAAAGTTTGAAGACGCAGGGGGTAGATATAACAGGGGGTTAAACCTGAGTTGTTTTTGTGGGGCTCTAAGAGTAATCTTTGACAAGAGTTCAGAACAATCCACAGCACCACTAGCAATTTTTGCAAGAAAAACCAAATCTGCAATTTCTCGCCGATTCACTAAAGGGAGAAAGTGATGCATCCTGCAAAGTTCCTCGTAGCGGCCTGAGTCATAGCGATGTTTGGTGCGGAAGCAGAGGTACTTAATGAATCTCATTTGAATTTTCTCGATCCGCAATATATACGTCTGTTATCCAGGGTTCCAGATCTGCGACGCGCACTCCAGGTGACTTCGGACGAATGTGCAATAAAGAATTTTTAGAGTCTTAGTCTGTGTGAAGTCTTTGGAGTTACGCATAACAAATCCAAGAGCTCTGGAGGCCTTTGAGATGATGTTATCGATATGGGCATCGAAAAGCAACTTATGGTCATGAAACACGCCAAGATCTCTCACAACCGTATCTCGTTTCAGCCTTGAATTTCTCACCACATAATCAAACAAAATCAGATTCCGCTTCCGACTATACGTGACAACATTACATTTGGCTGCATTTAAGTCTAAACAATTACTTGAACAGTAGTTGTCAAGTCTCACAAGATCATTTTGCAGTGAAAGCGCGTCTTCTAACGACGAAATAGGCGCAAATATTTTCATATCATCCGCAAAACATAATAGTTGTGAAAATTGAAAACACCTCGCAATATCATTTACGAACACAGCAAACAGGAGTGGCGCAAGTAAGGAGCCCTGAGGAACTCCACTGGGAACCGTAAGCCAACCAGAAATATAATTTTTCACCACGACCGCCTGTGAGCGATTATTAATGTATGATGATAGCCATCGCAACAAATCGCCACCCACACCAATCATTAACAGTTTGTGTAAAAGCATGTCATGCCGAATTCGGTCAAATGCCTTACTGTAATCAGTGTAGATTACGTCGACCTGAAAGCCATTATCCATGGCAATAGTAAGGGACTCATTGAGCAAGACCAAATTAGACACAACAGAGCGGCCTCTAAGGAAACCATGTTGTGTTGGGCTAAACGATTGCTTCAATGCAGAATAAAGCTGCTCGTAAATAACTTTTTCCAGTACCTTGGATACAATACAAAGCTTAGAGATGGGACGGTAGTTAGTAATATCTGATCTAGATCCTTTTTTATGCACTGGTGTAATATATGCTTGCTTCCATACACTCGGAACAATGCCCTCCGTCAAAGATCTATTGAAAAGAATAGCAATTGGAATAGCAATGGTTTTAGCGCAATTTATGAGGAAGATAGCTGGCAACAAGTCTGGTCCAGCAGACTTTGCCGGGTCTAGCTTCGAAAGCAGCCTGGTCAGTTCGTCAATGTTAATCATAATTTTATTAATGTTTGTAATAGTAGTAGGAAGAGAAGAGGCCAAACTTAAATTGTTTAGAGAAGTTGGAGACTGCAAAAAGTTAGAGTAGAAAAACTCAGAAAAAGCGTTGCATATCGATTGTCCAGTATTAAGTACAGTATCACCGTAGTTCAAGTTATTGGGTAAGTCATTAATATTAGTCTTGGATTTAATAAACGACCAGAAAGTTTTTGGGTTATCCTTTAGCGAATTTTCAACTGTGTTTATATAATCACTATAGCACAGTTTTTCTAATGTTTTACATCGATCCCTTAGAATTTTATAAGATTGTTCATCGGTACGGTTACCATATATTTTGAATTTCTTCAAGTATTTGTACTTTTCCCTAATTGATCTTTTCAAAGCCGGCGAGTACCATTTGGGGTATTTGTTAGTAGTAATAGTTTGGCGAGGTATATATTGGTCTCTTAATGTAATAAATTTATTGTAGAAATACTCTACTGCTGCTTCGAGGGGTTTAGATATTAATTCATGATGCCAGTCTATTTTTTTAATTTCTGAGTTGATAGCATTATAATCGCCTTTATTAAAAAGATACCTAGTGCGAGGTGCATCATTTAAGGGCACAAAATCCGCAAAATCTAAATCGAAGGACAAAGCTCCATGGTGTATATCGATCGGCACCAGCGGATCGCCACTGCAATCCGTTACCAGGACATTGTCATTAGACAATATAAGGTCTAGAGTCCTCCCATAAGTATTTTTAATACTATTATATTGTCTTAAACCAAGAGTATTAATCTCATCGACAAGTGAAATCTCATCACTAGTATTAAAGTTTGAAGGATCACAGTGAGAACCATCAACACCATTCCTTACCCAATCTATGTTACTCAAATTAAAGTCTCCTGCTATCAAATATTTATCATATGGGTATCTCATGACTACATCATTTAAGCTATCAAGAAAGTTTGACAATTGTTGGGTAAAGGTAAAGCCTCCATTTTCGTTACACAAATAAAGCGCACAAATATGTAATTTCAAAGGTCGCTGAGTACCACGTAGTTTTAGAGTTAATGTTAACCACAAATCCTCGGCACTAGAGTGAAACCCAGGTTGAGACATAACTATCATATCCCTGTGCACAGCTATAAGTACACCCCCTCCATATAATTGACCAGTTACAGCATAGTTTCGATCCCGTCTAAAGACAACATATCTATTATCAAAAAGCTCCGTATCCTTAATACCTTCCAATAGCCAGGTCTCAGTAATAATAACGATGTCGTAATCACCGCTACATAAATTACGAAAAAATATCGTTAATTTGGTGCGTAAACCCCTAGCGTTCTGGTAGTATCCTTTAAGGTAATTATTTAAATTAGCCATTTATTAGGTATGAAAAAATAAAAACAGGATAAAAATATAGTTAATAAAACGGTAGAATCATATCCCCTTAAATTATAATTAAAACGCAATAAAATAATAATTCGAGAATTCATGATCAATAAGTACTTAATTGAATTTAAAATGTATAAGCTGTATTTAAATAGGCGACGCAAATAAATTAGCCATTTGAATAGAAAGAGGAAATAAAAAGGAAATAATAACAACATAAATAAAACAGCCGGATTACAGATTCTAAATACATAATTAATAAACATTAAACCAGTGATTTCAGAATATATAATCGGTGAATAATAGTTCGGCTGCAAAAAATTTAGGTTATATATAAATATACGGCGCACATACACAAAATTCCTTATCAGTAGCCGTACTTGCAAGTTGTGGCGAGTCAATAACATTTCGTAGCCGTAGATAAGAATGCAACAAAACACCGATTTCACTACAAATAAACCATCAAATATAGCAAAAATGATCGCCCACAGTTTCATGTTATTTCCTACACTAGTAAGAAATAAAAAACGACATAAGCACAATAGATAATAAAAAATGAATGCTAACAGCTCCCCGCGAAGTATCAATAAAAAGTGAAAGTTACAGAAATAATAAATCGAGCAATAACATAACAGGCAAACAAGGCGTTCAAGGACACTAGCAGATAGCCAATTCATTGTAATAGCAAGTAGTGAATAGAAAAGGAGCGAGCGCATCAAGTGGACAGACCGGTTTTGGACTGGTCGTCCGGAACAATAGCGAAGCGTCATCACAATTGCTAAGCGAGCGGTTACAAACATTTTGTGCATAATTAGCCAGCTAATGTACGTGATTAAGCAAATAAAAATAAAAAAAAGCAAATTAACATTTTCTAATAGAAATAAAGCGTAACAAATTAACAGCAACTGTAAATATTCTGAATCGAATATAAAATAACTTAAACCATCTTGTTTAAATCAGTCTCACTAGATACGATGAAAATACGTGTAGTGTCACTTTTTCGCACATGAATTTTACAATACTTGACCCACACATAATTGTAGCTTTTTTCTTTGGCAGCCAACTTGGTTTTTGTGAGAAGATTTTTAAACTCGGGAGTAAGATGGTCGTTAATAAAAATACGCTGTGAGTTGCCTGCAAATCCAATATCGGCAGAAGTTATATGTTTCATAGCCCGTGCTGCAGCTATGAACTCTTCCTTAATATAGCGGTTCACAAAATTTATAACTATGTATTTCTCTTTGGAATTTTGTATTGGCACCCTGGCAATGTAATTTATTTGAGACTTAGGGAAACTGTAGCCCACTACTTTAGTCAACGATTCAACTATAGAATATAGATTTTCATTGGTTTTAACTGGTACACCCTTCACCTCAATATTGTTCAGACGTGTCCACTGATCTCTAAGTGCTAAACCTTTTTTAAGGGCATTAATGTCAGTTGTGGTCGCCTCAATGGAAGATTCAACTTTTTGCATGTCGGGTATCTTCTGTTCCAAATTCGAAATTCTAACCGCTTGCTTGTCCAATTGGTCGCCGTTGAATTCGCAAGACTCTTTAAGTCCGGAAAGCTCCTGTTTGATACACTTGACTTCATCTACGAGGGTAGACAACTTGGCTAGTTGATTCTTTACATCACGCAGTTCTCTGAGTATGTTTTCAAGGATAGAGGAGTCATTAGATGGAGCTGGAGACAGTCTTGATTGCTTGCATTGTGGACACTTCCAGGCTGCTCTCCGATCAGCTCCCAGCTTTTTATACCCAGCCTCGGATATATTGGCACAGCCGAAGTCCAAGTATTTTTTACATACTCCACACTGAACTCCATCATCAAAAACCGAATCGCAGACCGCGCACTTCATTTCCGTGACACAAGTTATGATTATCTATAACCGGTAAAAATGTTGTCGATATATTGAAGACACAGAAATGGTGATACGCGTGCTAACTAGACGAATGCTCACGACGAACTGGAATACAGGAACTTATCCGTATAATCGGAATCTGTTCACTGAGCTTGATTTCGCTCCTGCATTTGTTACGGATAGACCAAATCCCGAAAATACTACAGAACCAGCTGTTGTTCCTGTACCAAATACTACCCTACCTGTAGAGCCTGTATTTGTAACGGATGTGCCAAACCAAGAAAATGCAGCAGAGGTAGCAATAGTTCCTGTATCAGTTACAAATCCACCTGAAGACGAAACTCCGCCATTATCACCTTCTCTATTAAATTGGGAATCAGGAAACTGTAACTACACCACCCAGACACCACAGCAGCATTAATATTCAGGAAACTTCTCCGAAACCCAGTACAAGTGCTCAAACAATTTCTTCTATTATTCCCGCTGTATTTTCACCGGAAACAATACGACCATTTCCGAAAGCTGCTCCAAGGAAAAATAAAAATCAGGAAGTCTACTATTTAAACTGACACTCTAGAGAAAGAAGAGATAAGAAAAGATCATGAAATAAGATTGAAACGAACAAGAGCTAAACAAGTGAAGAAGCAATTGGATGGAGGAAAAAAGAAGAAATTGAATAGAGGAAAAAAGAAGCAACTTGATGGAGGAAACAATAAAAGAAACACCATAAAAGGAAAACAGAAAAATATACAAGAGGAGGTATCATCAGAAGATGAGGAGTACTTCTGTCTTGTCTGTATGTCTTCATATTCAAAGAGCAGACTCGGAGAACAGTGGATCCAATGCATCAGTTGTAAACTGTGGGCTCACGAAGAATGCACAGAAAGTGGTCTTAGCTATATTTGTCAGAATTGCGACTCTGATTGATCTTTAAATTTGGCTTATCCTTATTGGACTAATGAAAGCCAAAAATTGTTTTCTTTCAAACTTTTTTTAAATATTATTGTTTAGTTTGCTATGTTTAAAAAACAAACAGTTGATTTTGGTTTAATTTACGTAAATTTTATATCAATGTTAAGTAATTTGTAGTTACTTAGTTTTTTGATGATTGATAATATATATTTTAAATAGTGTGCTTTAAAACATTAAAGGCTGATTAAAAATATCGTTTCAAGTATACTGGGTGTTAGGGGAACGCTTCCGAAAACGAAAACCAGTGATAGAGTAAGTGAGTAAGAGTAAATTATTACTTTATTTTTCAAAAAAAATATGTTATTTTTATTTTTTTTTTCATTTTTAGCGATGTAAAATAAGTTAAGTATTACTATTTTTATCAATAAATTTGTCTATTTATTGATTTTCCATAAAAACGCAATGTAATTAAAACTCGAAAAAATCAGCTGATCGACGGTAGACGACCCCGAGAGTTCAATAACCTTTGGTACGTTCAAAGGGCACTTTCATTCTCTTTCCTTTACCACTGGTAGAATGAAAAGAGACAGAAGATACGAGTGAGAAACTTCAGCGACATCTAGCGACGAAAAGCTCTTAGTTCTCTACGTTGCTAGTTTAGGTACCCATTTTCCTGTGTTTTATTAAGAAAATGCAATGAAAACGCAATTACTAAAAGTAGTTTTAAAACGGCGTTTTGTTATTTTTTCAAATTGTTATTTATTGATGATCATTCCCTTTCACGCAATAACAATAAGTAAAAACGAGAGCGAAGATACTGCAGGCCAAGCTCGTAAACTTCTAGATACATCTAGCGGCAAATCGCGGCGGTTTTGATGATATAGCGAATGAGAATGATAGATGCAGCGCCATCTAGTAGTGTAAAGCAAAATCAATCGGTAGTGTTTCCGTGTTAAGGGGTGGCACTTTTTAATGAGTAAATATCGTTTTTGAATAACCTACTAGATAAAATGCATGTTCTTCTGGAAAACATTTGTTTTTTTGTTTCGACTAAACATTTCAAAACGGTTTAGTAACTCTAGTATTTACAAAATTTTTATCTTTGTAAATTTTTAAAAATAAAACTTACATTACATGATTTTGATAAGTGCACTTTTTTATTTACTTGTCACAATTAATTACTATTAAAGTTGCTAAGTGAAATGAATGGCAGCCCTAGATATCATTGCGAACCACAGTGACCGGTGAGTGTGTTTATAAAAGATGCCGCTTCACTTTTCCGGTCCGTCCGCTTCCGGTTTCTGAGACATGCTGCCGCTACACGTGCTGCCAGCTCTAATTTTTTCCCTTAATTGGGTAATTTTTTTACGGGATAAATCCCATAAAAATTGTATGATATTAAAGAAAGGTAAGCTATCTTTTAAATATCTATCTATCTTTTTAATATTTTTGATTACATGGTATTATTAAATTTTTTTTTTTAAATTGAAGTTGATGTTATTGAAATAACATTAATCACTTTTAAAAATTTATTCGTATAACAATAAGTTAAGAGCGTCGCAAATAAGGTTGGTTAAGTTACGTTAGCCAATGTTCCTGCCAATCGGTTAACAAAAACGGTACCCGGATAATAATTTCTCTGTCTTACTTTTATTTATTAGGATACGGTGAAAACAATTATTAATGATGCACAACATTCTTTCAAACATTTTACTTATTTTGTCATAAAAATAATTTAGTATAGCGTACACTTTCAGACAATTTTCATTTGGTTTATTCCGGTATTATTAAAAATTACTTACGATATCAGTTCTTGTAATAATTCACAATGTTAAAACATAAATTTGATCGAACACGTAATGCACAATCCATTCAATTGCAGATTTCATTTCTAAAACAATTTTGGGAATTTGGTGAAAAAAGTTGCAACACTCGAATATTCAGTAGGAAGAACCGAAGAACGAATGATCGCGGCTTCTTTGATATGAGCGAGGCATGAGGCCGACCAGTGGCAAAAAACTTTCCATCTCGGTTTGCGAATGCGTATTTTAAAGTTTATTTCGTTAAATTAGTTATCATAGTTTTTAGTTGAGCGTGTTAGGTTTATTTATTTAGTGTTTATTTTAAGTTTTATTAGACAATAAGTGCATCTCATCATGCCTAATGCGTATGTGTACAGTGCTCGTGAGTATGGGAACATGGTTATGTGTTTAGGAGAAGCACGTGGCAATGCTTCTCTAGCTTTGAGAATTTACCGGGAAAGATTTCCTAATGTGCATCATCCAGGAGACTCTCGAACCATTACTGCTGCGTTTCAACGACTGTTGGAGAATCAACCGATCGTTCCGGTGGCGGTCGGCGGTGGGCGACCAATAGACATTGCAGCCGAGGAGCGTATTCTCGATGTGATCCAACGCAACCCCCGTTTGGGCACGAGGACTGCTGCGAAGTTACTGCAGCGGCCAAATGGGCCCTCAGTTTCGCATTGGACGGTGTACAAAGTTTTGCGAAGAAACAGAATGCGGCCTTACAAAATTCATAAAGTGCAAGCTTTGATACCCGAAGACCTACCCCGTCGTCGCACTTTCTGCCGTTGGTTGTTGGATCAACAACAGCGTCTTCCAGGATTTATTCAGCATGTTATCTGGACAGATGAATCTACATTCACAAGGAACGGCATGTGGAATAGACGAAATTCACATTTATGGTCTGAAACCAATCCACGTGCCACTCAAGAGACTGGCCACCAAACCCGATGGTCGGTCAACGTTTGGGCTGGCGTCTTCAACAATGTTATCTTTGGGCCGGTGTTTCTACCACAACGACTTGACGGAGCTGGGTATCTTAGGTTCATTAATGAGAGCCTTGATGAAATTCTTGAAGGCATATCATTAGCTGAGCTAAGAAGGGCTTGGTTTCAACACGATGGCGCACCGCCGCATGTGGTACGGCCGGTACGTGAGCGTCTCACTGAACTATTTGGTGACCGTTGGATCGGGCGATTAGGACCGCAAGCCTGGCCACCACGATCTCCTGATTTGACACCTTTGGACTTTTTTTTGTGGGGGTGTGTTAAAGAAAAAGTGTTCAATAGAGTTTGTGACAGTGCTGAGGAAATGCGGGCAAGAATTGTGAGTGCATTCGAGACAATAAGAACGAGTTGTATCGAGGACTCAACTCTCATGCCTCGACTTCACGAAGAGACGCGGCGACGGGCTCGAATTTGTGTTGAGATGAATGGGGCACAATTCGAGCCACACTTTGTTAGACCGCGGAGAACATGAACAGGTAAGTACGTTTTTGCATTAAAATAAAAATCATGATGTTAAGTTTAACTGGTTAAATTAATCGTTACTTATAATAAAATTAAAGGTTATTGTAATAAATTACTTTACGTAGTACGTAGTACTTACGATCGTCTCTGTGTGTGTTTGTGTGTGCTCGTTTATGCATGTGTGCAACTATCAAAAGCGCTCGCGCCGCGCGGTCGTTCACCCGTGTATTTGTACGTTTTACATTGCGTGCTTAGAAAATACGATTTCGTTAAATACTAATTATTCAAGTAAACAAATATTTTTGTAGGACTCCATTAATATGGTATAATAACCATGTTAAAGATTCGGAAGCGTTTTCCTAACACCTTGTATAAATATTGAAGACTGATTACTAATGTCAAAGAGTTAATTATTCTTAGATTTAAAATAAACAATTAATAAAACGTGTTGTAATATTATATTTTGTATTATTCGCATGTGTTTCAACTGACCCCATTCACGGTTTCAACCGCCCCTGGTATGGGGACGGTTGAAACAAATCCGATTTATTTTTTAATTTGATCTACTTTTAAAAATAACACACCTGGGACTAAAAACATATTGCCTATTAGTAGACAGAAACATGCTCTTTTATTTAACATATCTTCTTCATCGCTCGGGTTATAAAAAGCAAAACTATGGACGTTATAAGTGAAACTGTTTCAACCGTACCCAGTCTACCCAACATTTCATTATATTATCAATATTTCGTTTCTAACATTGATTAACAAATTCAATATTTTCTCATACTATTTTACAGATGAGTTTGGATATTCCTGTGCCAAAAGCTGCAAGTTCACTCCCACCTCCTAACTGTTTGTACACTTTTCTCATGGATTAAATTTAATGAACTATCTGTGATGCACCTTAACTAAGATAGTGTAAAAAGTGGTTTCCGTTCCAGTTGAAGTGCCAATTACGAGAAATATATTTCACATGCAAGAAAACTCTAGAAAAGTTATTAAATACACAATTGAAAGTTTTCTTCCATTTTAGATTCTCAAGAATTAGTTTGTGTCATTGAGATATCGTAATTGAAATATCTGTTGAGAAAAGTGAGGCACTCGCTGCTGCTTTCAAAATAACATGCATGACATGTAAGCAATATCGCCACCTTTTATATTGCTTTCATTACTCATTCTTTCTTTGGTTTATCTATCAAAACTCTGCTTACCATTCAATTAAATTCATTCCGCGTCATTCAATGTGTTATTAAAATGTTACGATGTCGTATCCTATGGCTAGAATCATGACTGGACAGGCGGTCCCACCCCAGGCGCTGGTGGA